CAGAGAAAAGGGCCTATCTTCTCATTTGAACTCCAATGAACTATATTGTCATCATTAGCACTGTGGTAAGGATGGGGAAAATCTCTCCATCAGATAACAACCCTCCAGCCTACTAGCACTGTGCTTTTCATATACCAGACACTTACTAGTGTCTTTGGAAATCTGGTGTCTTTTTGGAAATGCCACCTCCTATACCAGCAGACAATGCCAAGGCTTTGTTGCAATGGCAACCCTTCTCTCCAGAACGCTGCAAATAATTCCAGTTCATTCCTATAGCTTGCACACTTCTAGCACACTTCCAAAACTGCATTTTTTAGTTAACTAAAAATAACAAAGCCACACTTCCTCCCACCCAAGCATTCCTAAAGCATAGTTGCCAATAAGTACAGCTAAACTTCAGAAACTGCAGGTACTGCCCAGGAGACAAAACTCTGCAACATTTCCACAAGAAGCAAAGGACAGAATGGTTAACTTTATTTTTATAACCACTGTCAAGTCATTAGCAAAAAGTAAAGAAAACTTTTCATGCTTATCTCCATAACTACTAGGGGTTTTTTTTTCCTATTCTCTCTCTTTCTGTCTCTATGAATCTGTATGTTTTATATACCAATAAATCATACATTGGGACTTTTTTCCTAATTATGAAAATAATGTACACCCATTACAGAAGACTATAGAAGATAGAAACATTTTGGAATAAGACAATACAGAAAGAAAATGTCTCTTACAACTCTATATCCAAATACGCCAATGTCTTTTAAAATGTACCAGGCTCCCTAATGTGCCAGTTAGCCAAACTGGAATGATCTTCGCCCCTATACCCTTCCTCTCTTAGAGGTCAAGTGTTTGGGGTCACTGCCCCCATTGCTAATGGAAGTTCAGGAACCCTGGTACCAGTTAGACACTAGAATCACTATGTACTTATAGTCAACCACATAAAAGGTGGAACAGATCTAGCTACTCACCCACCTCACTTAAATATCAATGATACTTTGTTTTGGGGGCAACCTGAAAGCAACATGTAATAAAAACCCCAAATGGAAGCAATAAGAAATAATAATATTTTTTAAAACTACTGGAATTGGGTTCCTTTGCACTCTGTACCATCACCAGTTTGCCAGGAGTGGGGAGAGCTCATGACACTAGGTAGACACTTTCCAGCACTCCTGATGCTGCAGCTGCCCACCAGGCCATCTACCCAGTCTATGTTGGCATTAAGCGACAATGATAATCACATTTCAGAGATCAAGGGCTGCACTTCTAATCAAGGTTAGAAGACAAAGAATAAAACATGGGAAATGCCTGCTAAAATTTCACGAGTGGGTCCAGTAACCAAAGCATAGGATGATGCCCTCTTAGCTTATTTATGAGTCCAAAACAGAAAGTGTCTCCTTTGGAAGATGCTATAAAAGTTTCAAATGTTTAGTGCACTCTACCCAAATCTAATCACTGCCTTATCTCTTACGTAGGCTTGCAGGACCACATAGAGTTCATTTGTGACAAGTTTTATTGTGAATGAAAACTCAAAAAGAGGTAGGAACTGGCCAGAAAGGGAAGGGTAGTGAACAAAATTGAGTCCAGAGTTAGAGAAACAAAATCAGTCTCAACCCCTGCTTCATAGCCCTCTCTCCCCCAAAGGCTACAGCGCAGACTTGGGGACTAGGACAAGGATCCAATAAACACTCAGAGGCTGCACTGTATGGGACTTCTCTCATTGTACAGATGGGGAAACTGAGCCCCGAGAGGTCTCCAAAGTCATACTGTGAATGAATTAAAGTAATGGAGGAAACAGACCCAGGAGGTAACTGTGTGGTGTCCCTGTCTGGTGCTCTTTCCACCAAAACCCAGGCTCTTATTATAGTCTATCGCTCTGTCTGACAAGCCATTTCTGCCAAAGACATGCTATCAACATACATCAACATTACAGAATGTGCACTAATAACACTTTAATATTAAAACGTGTAATTTAAGTTTATCATCCTTACATTTAATTTTATTTGCTAGTACTACAACATTGCTGGAAGTAAATGAACACAGAATGGTTTGAGAATATGAATGGAAGCTTCTTAAAAGCATTCCAATCATTCTGAAAACATGCTGTTCCTATCAAATCTAATCCTAAATAACAAATTAAAGATGTTTTTGCAAGAGAATACTTGGTGAATAATAATGGAATTGAAAGTATTCTCCTATAACATAAAACTTTAAAGTGAAAAATTGCTGGGAAATGAAGAATGCCCACCCCTTGAGGGGTACAATGTTTCTTAGGAAACTGATATGCATGTAAAAATGCTGACAATGTAAGATAATATATGTTAAGAATTTAGCATCTGCCAGGTGCCAGTGGTTCACGCCTGCAAACCTAGCTACTCAGGAGGCTGAGATATGAGAGCCTGCCTGACAAACAATCAGCAAAAAGTCAGAGGTGAAGGTGTGTGGCTTAAGTGGTAGAGTGGCAGGCATTAGTAGAAAAAGCCAAGCAAGAGTTCAAGACCTTGAGTTGGAGCCTTGACTCTTGATATATAATAACCATTCAACAAATTCTCGTTTCTTTATCCAGGGTAGGAAAATAAGTATTATCCACATAACTAGTGGTAACTTAATACTTTCCTAAGATCTAACTTATGATGTTATGTCATGAGGGTATTAAAGTGTAACTAAAAAAAAGTAGACACACAAGATTCCAATTTTCCTAAAAGATTAAGTTTAGATCATCAGTAATCAGGATAACTAACATAACATTATTCTAATATCATTGCAAGACTTCCAAGAGTTTTTACTGTAAACAATGTTTGTAATCAGCGTTGCTTGTTGCTTTCTGATGGCAAAACAAAAGTATCAAAAAGTTGAAAGATTACATAAAAAGTAAGGGTTTTAGCCAGGTACCAGTGGCTCACACCTATGATCCTAGCAACTCAGGAGGCTGAGATCTGAGGATCACAGTTCAAAGCCAGCCTGGGCAAGAAAGTCCGTTAAGACTCCTATCTCCAATAAATCACCAGAAAACTGGAAGTGGTGCTGTGGCTCAACTGGTAGAGTGCTTGCCTTGAGCTGAAGAACTCAGGGACAGCACCCTGGTCCAGAGTTCAAGCCCTATGACAAAAAAAAAAGTAAGAGTTTTAAAGTATTTATATGTTTCCATATGTGGTTTCTTGCAATATTTACTGGTCTTTTCCCAAATAACATTGTAGCCAGCTATTACTCCAGCTAAGTACACAAGGCTGTTATATTTTATCTCCTCAACTTTCTCAAGTACCACTTTATAAGGTTTTTCTGACTCCTCTGAGGTGAATTATTTAAAGTATCCATTTGAAGAAGGACTGAAAGTGTAAAACATAGGAATCTTCTCTGGAAATGTGTTTCAACCTGAGTCCTTTTTCAAAGGCTCTGAGCACATACCTAAGGTCACAGTTTATGAGGAATTTTTGGATTCATCTAGTAATCTAGTACATCAATAACACCTGGCCTGTAACAGAAATCTTACACCTGTGGTGCCCCCGCCCCTCACAGACACCTGTATTCTCTCTGCCTACAGGGTCCCTATCCTAAGTCAAATGTCATCCTTTCAAAAGGATGCCTTTCCCAGGATTCTGATAAACTGTTGAACAATTCTGCTTTCACTCAACGAATTGAAAACAAGGCCATACCAGCTGCCTAGGTTCATAAAGAACTCATCCTTCCAGGGTTCTGTCTGCTTCAGGAGTTCTTAAAGGCCAACCACACAAATTTAGATAACATAGCCATTTGAGAACAAGATTTGTAATTCAAATGCATGACAAAAAAAATAAAGAGTAAAAGATTTCAGAGCAAATTCAGATGCCACTTTTTTTAAAGTCAAGAACAAATGACCAAATAATGCCAGACGCCCTCCCAAAGTTTCCTTCTTGAAATTCAAATGTCACTGCTGATATCATTTTATGAGAATTCTTGTCCCTTAAGTCATCAGGCACAATGTAAAACCAAGGACTGAGAACTTCTGACAACTAACCCAAGAGTCCTGGTCTTCTAGATCTTTTACAATGACCTAATTTTCTCAAATTCGGCTCCCCCCAATCACTCAATCCCGTCAAAAGAAAAAGGGAAAGGAAAAGACTGTGACCCGTCGTGGCTCTAAAACTGTGCAAAACTTGTCTCCAAAACGGTCCCAACTCTGTCTGATTTCTCCAATTATTTTTAATTCATGCCCCTAGGCCTTTTGCCCCCCGACCTCTTGCTTCTAGACTTCTTCACCGACGTGAGACCACCTTTTATTGTTTCTATGGGACTACGCATCCCCTCCTCCGTCCAGGTCTGTCGCACAAATGTCATCTCTGGCGTTCCACCCTCCATTCGGCCGGGCGTGCAGCAGAAGGGCTTTGGGGACCCAGTGGCCAGCTTCCCTAATTTGGGCCCCTATGCACAGACATTTTTCCCCGTGCATACGCTGTGTGCCTTCGAGGGGGGAATGAACTTTTCCCCCGTTCTTTCTCTCGGCAGCTGCTCCGCGCCCCGGGAGGAGCGAGCGCGGCGTCCAAGTCCCCGGCAGGCGCGCGCTGCCTCCGGGAGGCACAGCCCCGCCGCCCGGCGGAGGCCGGTGCCAGGGCAAGGGGGTGTGCGCGCTCCGCCGCCCGCGCCACCCTCGCCGGTCCCCCGCGGTCCCCTCCCGGGCGCACCGCTCCGACCCTGAGCCCTCACCCCAGGCCCCGCAGAGCAGGGGCGGCGGAGGGATGCCAGTCCAGGAGGGAGCCCGCAGTCGCCGGCCCTGCAGCGCGGGCGCAGGGCGCACGGACTCCGCAGCGGCTGCCGGCTGCAGATGCGGCCGCAGCTGCTGCAGCTGGGGCTGCGGCTGGGCGGCGGCGGCGCGGACCGCGTAGCCCTGGGGCCGAGAGAAGAGGAGCAGCCACGGGGGAGACACGCGCAGCCACTGGCCGCCTGCCGCTGCCCCTGCCCGGGTCTCTCCCAGCCTTCCAGGGGCGACTCCCCGAGTCCCGGGCAAGGGCCGGGAGGAAAGCGGGACTCACCAGGTGCGCGCACGGCACTCGCCTCAGCTCGGCTCGGCTCCGGCGCCCAGCGGCTCTGCTACAGCGTCGCCCTCCTCCGAGCGCCCGAATCGGCCGCGGGCGCCGCGCACCAGCTTCCTACTTGAGAGCGGCCGGGGCTCCGGGACTGAGCATGCCCAGTGCGGCCCGGCGAGCCCCGCGCAGGCAGGCGGCGCCGGCGAGATTCCACTTCTCCAGGCTTTGGAGGCGGCTGCGCCAAGGAGAGGCTGGAGAGGCCCGGCAGCGCGGGGGCCGAGCCGAGGAAGGCGGGGCCGGGGGCGGGCGCCGGGGCGGAAGGGGGCGGGCCGCGCTCCCAGGGCGACCCCTGCAGGCCGAGGCTGCGGCGGCCGCGCTGCGGGCATCTCCCGAGAAGAGCGCTGGCGGGCGAGGGTGCCAGGGCCAGACCCAGAGGTGCGAGATCGCCCTGCGGCCTGGCGTCCGTCTGCACTGCAAGGCAGTTGGATAACAGCAGTGCAGGCTTGCTTTTTCTCCCACACGTGTGTCCCCAGATTAAGAGGTGAGAGTTGCCCATGACCATCCCTGCGCAAAGTTAGTAAGACCTTCTCCTTCTACTGCCTTCTTAGGCCCATCCCCAGACCCCCCCCCCACACACACACACCATCCGTCCACCTAGAAATTCACAGCAAGATGACTCCAGGGGAGAACTGTACCTGATTTTAAAAAAAAAGATAAATAAAACTAAAAATAAAAGCATATTAGCCAGGTGTCCGTGGCTCACACCTGTAATCCTAGCTACTCAGGAGGCTAAGATATGAGGATCGTGGTTCGAAACCAGCCAGTCTGTGAGACTCTTATCTCCAGTAAACTACTCGAAAAAGCCAGACATGGTGCTGTAGCTCTAGTTGAGCGCTAGCTAGCCTTGAGCACAAAAAGGCTCAAGGACAGCACCCAAGCCCTGAGTTCAAGCCCCAGAACCGGTAAAAATAAAATAAAATGAAGTAAAATAAAAGTGTAATTTCCTTTCTACTCCCTTGATTTATAATAACTCCACTTGTAGCCCGGCAGGTAAAGCCCTAATCAAAGTGAATTCTTTTTTTTTTTCAGTGTGGATTCTTTAGAAGCAGCGAACAGTGCTGTACTCAAGCACTGCCAATGGACCATCTCCAAAGTACCTTCGGATTATTGTGCCCATGGCACTGGCAGTGACTGGAGCCCGAATCAGACTCATCCTGACGGCTTGCTGGGTCTCAAAGAGTGCCATCGAGTACGTGGTGGGGCCTGCACCTGTGTAGCTGCAAGTTCACGGTCTGAGGGACCGCACCTACAGGACTCTACAGAGGGGCAGGAAGGAGGGAGAGATCTCTACCTGCCATCTCCTTAAAAGATCATCCTAACAGTACTTTGGTTGTAACTATAAGGTGACAGCATCTTCTCCGAACCTTCAGAAATGCAGTCCTCTTTCCTTAAATAATAAGCTAGCACTCCCCGGGTCCTTGTTCCTGTGTGCCTTCTGCAGTGCCAATGAAGTTACTTCCTCACTCCCTTGGCCCCCTGAAGTTACTGAGGAGTCCCAGGGTTATTATCAGTCTCTGCCCTCACGGTGTTCCCGGCCCGGCAGGACATCTATCCCACAGTCACTGAGAAGCATCGTCCACTCCGGGGGCCGCCAGAGCACAGCGGAGCCCAGACACGGCCTCCGCGCGGGGCTGACAGCCAGGTGCGGCCTCCACGCCAGCGTTTTCTGGCGTTGGCATCCTCCGATCACTTCCCGCACACCCGGCTGGACGCCAGCCATCGCAGTGCCCAGCAGGGTCACCGATTTCCCCCCAAGCCCATCAGCGAGCAATCCTGGGGCTCTCTGCACCCCAAGGTGGGCCTAAGGGGCCCGCGGGTCGTGGAGGACCGGGGGCTACAGCTGAGTTAGGGAAACACGCGTGGGCAAAGCCGCTTGGTTCGAGGCCCAAGGAGGAAATCGACCCAAGCTCGTCCGGCCAGGCAGCGGCAGCAGCAGCAGCCATCCAGACCCGTCTTCTCCCACCGCCCTCCATTCCCTCCGACTCCGTGGCCCTCAGGAGCCCCGCCCTGCCACCCTTTTCTCTGGGGGGGGTCCCGGGGCGATGAGCAGCGCCCGCCCCTCCCGGCTGAGTCTCGGCAGGACCGGGAGGAAAACCCGCGGTGGAGTCTACGGCGGGCGGGGCGGGGCGGGGTGGGGCTGGGTGACGCGCGCAGGCGCAGTGGCCGCCAGGTTGGGCGGAGGAGGCGCCCAGCCCCACACCTGATGCAATCCGCCCTCGGGAAGAGGCCGGGCGGCCGGGCTCACCCGGGGGACGCCTGCGCCCCCCGCCCCGCCCAGCGTTGCAAGCTCCCCGACCCGCCGGGGCGGCCGCGTCCCAGCCATCCGCCAGGGACCCGCGGAGTCACCTCCCGAGCCGGCACGACCCTTGGATGCCCTGAGTGGTGACGTCGGGAAGGCCGCGCGGTGGTCGGCGGCCACCGAGGACGTGGCCTGAACCCCTTGCGCGGGGCCGGGCGGGGACGGCGGGGCAGCTCCGAGCCGCCTGGGCTTCCTTCCTCCGCCGGGCCAGGCCCAGCATCGCCGGTGCGGGACAGTGCGGGGCGGGGTGGGGGGAGTTCCCCCCCCCCCCCGCTTTCCCGTCTGTCTTGCTAACTATGGGATAAGCCAGCCCGGCAGCATAAAGCCTTGCACCGTGCATTTTGTTTTATGAATAAGTAATTGCCTTCTCTGTATCTCCTGGTGAACTTTGCAAAGAAAATCGCTGCTCCTTTTACCACCGCAGGCAACTTTGATGGCTGTGGTGAGTGGGGTTTTCCCCCTGGTGCTGACTCACCCGTGAATGTATTCCAAGAATGCGCTGAGAGCGAGGTCCGTAAAGCACGTGAAAATTACCTCTGAGGCCAAAAGTCCTCTTCACATGGGAGAAGTGAGAAAGACAGGCATTTTAGTGGGAAGGATATGAGAGACCATTCTAGAATGAAGTCAAGACCAAGTTTTAGATTTTACACAGGTATCTCCCTGGAGGCCCCTCTGGGGCCTTTAAATAACTTTAGAGCAAACAAATCAAGCAGAACCGACATCTGAATCCTGGTTTCTCAGAATTCTAGTGGAGGAAAATAATAAATTCCAAGAGTATTAAAATACTGGTTTGTTCTTATTGTTGATTTTCTAAGGGTATTTTTGTTGTTGGGGGGTTGTTTTTGTTTAAGTTTTTGTTTTGGGAATTCCATACATAGCCTAGGTTGGGTTTGAACTCAATCTTCCTGCCTCAGTCTCCAGAGAGTGCTGGGATTACAGATATACTTCACCCACTTTGATTTACAATACTGTGTTTTAGTCTAAACAGTACAGTGTAGAAAGTGGTATCAACGTATACAATCTTATTGTTTTTTCTTGTGAAGACACTAGGCCTTGATGGACAACTATACAACCACTTCTAAGATAAACCAACGTTTGAACAGCATGAATTTCTTCAAAACTAAAACGTCAAGAAATCTTTTGTACCTACATTTAGCACTTCTACTATTTTACTTGATCAAGTAGTAATGAACTCTTGGAGGCTCAATCAAAGGAATTTCAATGATCACAACAAAAGAGCAGGGTCACAGTTTGCATTTGTGATGATTTAAGATACTTTAACAATAGAGAAATCAAAAGAAAATACACAAATGGCTGGAAAATTCATGCTCGTGATGCTAAGAATTAACTTCAGAAACTACCTTTAAAAAAAAAAACTTGATAAATGTGCGCTTCTTTTTGGAATGTTCTGACATTTGGGGATCTGAGAAAATACCTTCCACATAAGCAAAAAATAGAGTTGAGTAAATGTCAATACACAGAAGTGTGAAGTACAAACTTATCATAAAGTACCGATTACAGAATAGGTAGTTTTTGCTGAGTGTTTAGCATGTGCCAGCAACTGCCTAGGTGTTTTACATGGGTTATTTATTTAGCATCATCCTCACAACTCCTTCCCAGGAAGGTACTGTTGTACCCCTATTTTACCCAGGGAAAGTAAGGCTTGAGAATATGAAGAAAGTAAAGGTACAACCTGCGTGGTAGCAGAACTGGAATTGGAACCTAGGAAGTTTGCCTGGAGCTTGTGTATGGATATGTTTGTTTGTTTCAGTGGCAGAGTCTCACTATGTAGCCTACACTGGCCCTGTGATCTTCCTGCTTCAGCTTCTGAAGTGCTGGGATTACAGATGTGTGCAACCATGCTCAGCAATGTTTGTGCTCTTAAATAACACTTAACTTGGCATCAAAAAATAGCAATGTGGAAAAAGTGATTATGATTTTGGTCTTCCAAAGAAAGAAAATGGAGTAGAGTCCTAGCTTTTGGGAAGTTGAGGAGGAGGATCTCAAATTTGAAGCTAGTTTGGGTAAACAAACAACAACAAGAACAAGTGAGGAGTCTACTCACTTTCCTTCCTTTTAAAGTCAAAATCTGGTCAAAATAAGTTTATATTAGGTTGTAGGCAAGAACTCCTGCTGACTAGTGAATTGTGGTCTCCAAACTTAGTACCAACAGGTAAGTACCAACTTACCTACAGATGATGAGGTGGATGAGCACATATTTAGTAGCTTTTTTCAGTGGTACAGCCAAGCCTCTTTTTCAACAGCTACTCTTCCTGGCTGATTCCTCTAGTCCAGAACTGTGCAATATGATAGTCATTAGCCATGCAAACTTACTTTCAAATTAATTAAAATCAATCAGAATTAATGAGGAAGTTCACTGACCTAACTAACTCCATTTTGTCCCTCTCTGCTGCATTAACCTTTCATTTCCTCTGAGTCTCTCTCACACATAGTCACCTTGAGACTCCAGGAAAGATAGGATCGATGAATAAATACCTAGTGGCAAACACTGAAACTGCTCTCTAGTAAACAAAGAACAATGCCTACAACCCTCCTGAGATGACCAACCCCATCACATATTTGACTGAGATCAATCATACCTCTTCCCCTTGCCCCTAACTCCTCCCAAACTTAAGTATTATTAAACTTAAGTATTACTAAAAGTAATACACCAGTCCCACAAAGATAATCCTAGGATAATTCAATAATTTTTGTCTATACTACTGGGATCAACTAAATAATCTCCTTTCTCCACTGTTCACCAGTG